ATGCTTCCTGTAGTTGTCCAAATGCCTGTTGATGGATTGTACAATTCAGCACTATTCGTATAAGTACTGGTGGATGCTCCACCAGCAACTAATACTGATCCATTTGCTAATGTGGATGCTGTGTGAGAATATCGTGGGACATTCATGTTTCCTGTGATTGTCCATTCTAAATAAGGCAGAAAAGTGAGAAAAAAAATGTTGTTTTTAAAATGACTTCGAATCTCTCATATACATAAGTTGTCTATTTATGAATGATAGATTAAATGATTTCAAACCTTCAACAAACGTCTCTTTGTTTTTATAGTTAAAATAAAATTCATAATGAAATGTTAAATCAAATTAATAAAAAATATGTTATAAACGACTTCATTTATATTTTTCAAGTTCTATCGACGTCGCAAACTTGCGAAACTGAAACACTGTTCGACGATTCAGTTATGATAAATAGTAACCGAATTTTTGAATTTGAGAGAAAGTCAGTCTACATTGTTCAACATAGTAGAAACAAGATATACTTTCACCATGTTTGATGAGTGGTGTATCTAAGTGTCGGGGTATACGTAAGAATGACTGTCACTGAGGGTGTGACTGTAAGCAAAAGATATTTAAAAGTAAAACCTTTGCATATGACCATTGAAACAATCATCGTTTAAGCAACTATAAATTAATAAGTGTATTACTCACTCGGTATTGCTGCTATTGCGGCTGTGCTGAGTTTGACAAACTTTTGTACTCGGTGGTTATCGAAATCTCCAATGTACATATTCATTGCAGAATCGAATGCAATACCTCTTGGTCCACTTAATTGCATAGCATTATTACCAGCAACACCAGTTCCAGCAATGGTGACAGCAGTTTGATTGTTTGCACAAAAAAGTTGTACTCTATGATTTCCGTGGTCAACAACGAACATGTTCAAATAAGAATCAATTTTAATACCCATCGGTTGATTTAAGAGAGTAGAATTGGAACCTGCTACGCCCGGCGTACCGGCAACGAACGTGCCTGAAGTAGCACCAAGAGTCCAACGTATTACTGAATGTCCACCGTTGTTTGTTATATATAGATCATTGCTTATAGAGGGCAAATAATGAATACCCCATGGTCCGTTCACCGATGTGTTTTGATTATATGCTCCAGTTCCCCCGGCGATCAGAACGCCATTAGTACCGCTAGTTCCATTCGTTGAATGGCGTATAATTCGATGGCAATTATAGTCAGCAATATACATGTATGTTTCTGTAGCATCAAAAGTAAAATATCGTGGAGTATTGAATTGATTCAATGCAGAGCTAGCTGCTCCAGTTACACCGGCAACAGTTTGTCCGCCAGTTGATCCATTACTGAACTTTTGTATTCGTTGATTGCTAGAATCACTTACATATAAATTTCCATATCTATCGACATAAATATCATTTGGAGAATTAAGCTGAGAACTATTGGACCCCGGTGATTTATACAATCCAGCTGCGATTGTTACATTTACAGTATTTTTTAATAATTTCCATATAACAAAATTACCATTCTCATCCACAGAATACAAAGTATCATATGTATCAACGAATACACCTGAAGCTCCCATATTTGGCGGTGAACTAATTACAATAATTCCTGTTGTATTCCAACGTAAATCACCGGATACACCTAAAAATGATATAAATTATAAAATATTAATATGCTACTGCTTAGCTTATTCAGTAATTCTCATGTCTATTGATAAATATCAGAAATAAATATCACATGGTAGAAATTAATCTCTATTCAAATATTTGTATGATCTTCTCTTTAGTGAACAATGAATATTATAAATTTTTAACAAACGAAATATGAACTATAAAAATACTTAATATATATGAACAACAAAACTTTTTGAAAAAACTTTGAAATAAGTAACGCTCGTCTGAGAACTCGCTTAGCTCTTTCTCGTAGAAACGCATCCTCTTCATATTTACTGAAAAAACAATTGAAAAACTTGCTCTCCTTTGTTGTTTTTTACTCTTAGCATATACTCGCACTCTACTCAGTGGTAAATGCAGAAGAAATACATTTGAACTACCGCTACCAATAGCTTGTCGAACTAGCCTTTAACGAATAAGTGAAGTGTTAGTAATCTTATCCGGAAGAAAGCCAGCCGTTTATGATCGCCACACTTGCACTACAAAGTGCGGTACATTTGGATACTCATAGAAATGCATTACCCGAAAACTCGGTTTCTAGCAGTCCACGCCACTTCTTCCAATTCATTGCTCCCCTCCCCTTCAGTAGTCTGAGCAAATGAGGCGCACATTTGAAGTCTTCGCGTCGAAATACTTCTAGAAATATCTTTTCCAGAGAATTGATCTTCGATATTTTTTGACCTTTTCCCCTCACCCGCTCTCCTCATCATCGTCACCCAATAGAAGTTAGATTTGAAGTCTCTGCATCGAAATACCTTAAGAAATGTGTTTTCCGGGAAAATTGGTCTTCGATGTCTTTTTGACCTTGCGGACACACAATCAATCAATCAAGCAAACAATTTATCTCTGCTAGACTCTTCTCTACGAGACATAGAGTGTATTTTTTCCCACCTTCGGATAAATCAATTAACTCAGCAAATGTTTATTTTCTATGGTAGTTTTGTAAACTTGATTTTTTCGACCATCGATACAACATGACATTGACTCGAACAAACTTTCACGATATTTTCAAAAAAGCACATCACATGATAGAATTTCAATTATTTTAGACAAAATATTTAATCACTCATATTGCAAATACTACTGTAGTCATCTATAGTTTCTATTTACTCACATGGATTTGTGATCATAGTTGTCGTTGTCGTTGTGTTGCTGCTGGTTGATGTCGTCGTTGTACTGGTACTAGTTGAGGTTGTTGTCGTAGAAGTGGTAGAGGTTGTTGATGTAGTGGACGTCGTTTCCGTTGTTGTAGTAGAGGTCATCGAAGTGGTCGATGTGGTTTCTGTCGTTGTTGTTGATGTAGTAGACGTTGTTTCTGTTGTTGTTGTCGTTGATGTAGTCGAAGTGGTGGATGTTGTATCTGTCGTTGTAGTAGATGTGGTTGATGTAGTCGATGTTGTTGATGTAGTGGACATCGTTTCTATTGTTGTAGTAGAGGTCGTCGAAGTGGTCGATGTGGTTTCCGTCGTTGTGGTGGAGGTGGTGGATGTAGTCGATGTTGTTTCCGTCGTTGTAGTAGAGGTAGTCGATGTTGTTTCTGTCGTTGTTGTCGATGTTGTAGAGGTTGTTGATGTAGTGGATGTTGTTTCTGTTGTTGTTGTAGTAGAAGTGGTTGATGTAGTGGACGTTGTCGCTATCGTTTTAGTTGATGTGGTTCCTGTCGTCATTGCTGATATGGCCGATGTTCCCATTGCTGATGTTGTTGTTGTTGTTGTTGTTGATGTTGATGTTGCTGGTGAGACTGTTGGTGAGCCTACAAATAATCGCAATAGTTATTTGTGATGTAAATCAGCAACAGAAAATATTTTCCATATAAAATCTTTCGCTTAATAATTACAAAAAATCTGATTTTGAATCGGTTATGATCATACGATTTCAATCATTTATTTACATAGCAACAACCACCGATAAATCATCATATAATCGATTAGTTTTCATGTTTTCGATTATCATAATTCTTTACTTAGCTTCGAATCGATTATAATGAAAAGCGATGAGTTCTCGATGATTATTGATGAGGAAGTTAATGGTTAGGATCGTATGATTATAATCGATTCTGAAACAGATTTTTTGATTAGTTTTTTTTACATGGGTGTGGATCTTTTAGTTTTTTTTTGTATTCTCATTCGCAGCCATACCCTACATTTGGATGGCA